AGGCAAGTGAATGTCCCACAGACTTGGTGTTAGAACCACTGGCGGGGTGTCATCCAGGTGGAAGCTCTGGTCGCACCCCTCCTTAATGCTCAGGGTTGGGAGGCAAAGCCGCAGGAGCCGGCAATGCCAGCAGCTCTGATGCTGGTCAGGGACCTCAGGGCCTTGTTATAGAGGCAACCGTTAACCAACTCCCCAGAAGCCCCGAAAACAGCTGCATAACCCCGTGCATTTTTTTTCTGCCCCGTTTGACCCAGGTAGGGCGGAGTCTACCCCCACCCCACCCCCACGAGCCTATTTTCTTCATCTGCCGCAACGGAAGCGCCTTTCTATGATAGGCTATTAGAGAGGACTGTGGAGCTGTAGCGTGCTGGCTCGGTATATGCAATACCTTTGTCAAAGACAGAGCCGAGTAGTAAAAGTGGAGAAACACTTTTACTAGTAATTCAGGGTATTTTACACTAGAAGAAAAAGGACTTTGGTGTGAACTGGAACTAAGATCACAGGAGGGAAGTCTGGAATTTATAGCAGGAAGAGCAAAGTGAGATTAAGATGACTAAGGAAAAACAGGAGGGGTAACGGGGTTCTGGCTAAAGGGCCCTAGCCTCGTTCTTGCATTGCTAGCATCAGATATCACTTGGAGAAGGAGAGGATAATTAAGATCAGATATGAAGAATGAGGTAACTGGTTAAACTACCTTAGCAGGATTTTCGCCAAGATTGGACAGTTGCAGATACCTTTAAAAATCATTGTTGGGTGACTCCAATCTCTGCCTTATCGCAGAGAGTTGGAGAGACGCAAGCCTTTTTGGGAGTCAGTTTAATGTACGCAAAGAACCCTCACAACCTCCTCTTTGCCTTGCTCTGGTCTAAGGGTGCCCAGGGTCTTCCAAAAACTCACAAAATAAAAATAAAGTCTTAAAAAAGAGTCTAAAGCATTTTTAAATCTTGAGCAAAGACAGGTACACTAAACTTTGTCCTTTCATTTGCTTATTGAGATTAACCTGAACTGCTTCTTCAATTTTTCTTAAGGGTGCTGTATCTGGAGGGAGTGCAGGACACTAGACATTGGATGAAACACATTGCCTAGGACTTCTGGGCTTGCCTACCTATCTCAAGATGCCCCTGTGTTTCTCTGCATCCTCTGGATTCCACACTGACTAAGTCTTATAAACTACCTGATCATTCATTCAACACATTTTTAAATTGACTCTTGAAATGAAAGCAGTGAGTTTGTTTGAAAAACAGCTATTTAAAGACTTATTTTTTTTAAAAAAAAATTATGAATGTGTGTGCGTGCAGCATGAGGAGACTAGAGGAAGGTGTTGCAGTTCCTACAGTTGAGAGTGGTAGACTATTGTAAGATGCACAACCTGGATGCCAGGAACCAAACCCAGGTCCTCTGCAAGAGTAGCCATGTGTTCCTATCCAGGGAACTATCTCCCAACCCCGAGGCTGTTTTCTCATAGTTCTTTTTTGACTTGTATGTATCTGTCTTTTTGCTACTTTGTGAGGTCTTTTTTCTTTCACTGTTGTCCATCCCCTTTCCACCCTTTCAATCCTCCTAACTGTATATTAGAGAAAAAAGAATAGAAAGGAAAGGGGCAACGTTACTGTTAAAAACTACTTCCTGTTGATTAGGGCATTGAGTTACTTGGGGCAAGTTTGATCTTCTCTGTCAGGATATCTACTTCCTCCTCCTCCTCCTCCTCCTCCTCCTCCTCCTCCTCCTCCTCCTCCTCTTCCTCCTCCTCCTCCACCTTCTCCTTTCTTCTTTGTGCATGACTACTTAACAAACAGTGACCACAGCAACCAACCATCAACCATCAACTCATCAACCACAACAACCCCCACGACTCCAGGCCCTAGTGTTTACAAACCCTTTCAAAAGTCTTCAGAATTCCAAACACCACACAATCACAGAAGCTCTCTGTAGCTGGCAAAATCACAACCCGGCTAGAGCATGAGACAACCATAATCAACTGTTGTAGACAATCTGAAGCAGCCCCATGCCCCCACATCTGTGATTAAAATGAAAGCATGGTCCTACTTCTGTGTTTTTAAAAAAGAAACCAAAATTCTCACCACACTTTGAATTTAAATATTTTTCAGTGGCATAAAAACAATGTTTTATTTTGGCATTTCATACATAGATGTGATTGTGATTTGCTTTTCTTTCCATCCTGATACTGGGGCTTGCTACTCCTGTGTGTGGAGTTAATATTCCTCCTTTATGTGCATATACTACAATGTATGATGATGTTAGGATCATTGTTCATTTTAAAATAATTTTTTCATATTTTAAGGCTCTATGATATGACAAATTGAAGATTTTCTTTAAAAGAAACTTCTCAATAGGAGGCTTTTAAAATTTAGATACACACCTATGTTAGGAATATATAAAGTCTCCATTTGAGTTACAAAGAATAAATATATCTGTATAATGTGCCTTGCTTAAACAGAGAAAGAGCTTTCTTGTTGGGATGTGGGTGTGCACGCTTGTAACACCAGCAGTCAGGAAACTGAGACAGGAAGACTGAGAGTTAGGCCTGTCTGAGCTGCACAGCAAGTTCAAGGCCTGCCTGCAACACAGAGAGACACTGTGTCTAAATAAAGTAAAACTAAACCAAACAACAAACTTTGCTGAGAGACGCAGAAGCCTGAAAGAAATGACAGGAGACACCTTGTATTTGGTTAAGAAACCTTTTAAAGTTACCCAGGGTTCTCACATTTCAGTTGTTGGTTCTGGTACCAGAGCAGAGAAAGGACTTGGCGGTGCACAGCTGCCCCTTTACCCATAAGAACCTGGTGAATGAAAACATACAACCTTACAAAGCTAAGGGCAAAGTTACAGCATGGTACAGGAATATCTCATTAGCTGATCGGGGTGGGGGTGGGGACGGGAAGGAGAAACAAACACAAAACTATTTTACCACATATAGTAAAATAAATTTCAGATAACTCAAAGCATAATGTTTTTATCCAAGTGACAAAGAGAGCAATGCAGAAGCCAACGAAAGCAAAGAGGTCATCAGTTGGGTTCTTCTGCAAAACATAGAACACAGAAAATGAACCAAATGACCCTCCTAAATTCTACCAGTTCTACAAAATAGACACAATTCTAGATATTTAAAACAAAAGTTAAGTCCTTACATACATAAAGGGAATTGGGGTCTAACTTTCTTAGGGAACCCTCGTTGAAAAAGGCAGAAAACAGGTAACAGATCATTGAAAGCAGTCTCCATATGTACAAGCAGCACCCCCAGCATTCTCTCAGTGAAAGATGGCTACATCGATCCACAGATACCCCTAACTCAAAGGCTAGAGAGAAGGAAAAAACGTAAACTTTTAATAAGACCCAGAATTTTATCTCTCACTAGAGATAAAAGAAAATTTAAAGATGAGCAAATGTGACATCATTTTCAATGGTAAAAACAAAACAAAACACCATCAAGGATGTGCTGAAGCTAATAATTGTGATGGACTAAGGACTAGTGGAGTTATCTCTCAGCATCTGTGTGGGATTGGTTCTAGGCCCTTTTTCAGAGATCCAGATACAAGAATGTTTAACTATTTGCATACTATTTGCATAATCTATGCAAGTTCCCTGTTGTATGTTTTCATCATATCCAACCCGCAGCCCCAGGGCCTCAAGAGTCCTCGGACAGCTATAAATGTTCCCCAATACATTTGTAGATGTGTCATTTCACAGTACCAAAATGTCGGGCAGCCCTGCATCATTTCTGTATTATTATTAAGACCTAATACTATGTAATATGACATCATTTGTTGCTAGGCTGAATTGCTAATAATGACAACAAAAATCAGCAGACACACACACAAACACACACACGCACACACACACACACACACACAGAACACATTTGGAATGTTTTTAAACTTTTTTTTTTTTGAGATAAGGTTTCACTATGTATCCCAGCCTGGCATGGAACTCACTGTGTAGTTCAGACTATCCTTCAACTGGAGACCCTCCCAGATACTGAAATTCCAAGTAAGCCATCCGCAGAGCCTGTACATCTAGGATGTGACTTCATAATCTTTCCCAAAGTTTGTCTGGCACAATAAGACAATTACCCAGATGTGTTCTAGGGGAATCTTGACTGTGGGAATTTCTGATATTCAAGAAAAGATGCAAGCATCATGCATATTTGTGTGTGGAGGCTTGCTCCCTAAAGATTCTTCCATGATCTCGATCAATAAGTGAGTTACAGATAAAACGAGTATGTCACAATCCACACAAAACAGAGTGGTATCACCAACAAGGCTATAATGTGATTTTGGGGGGGAGGGGCTGAGACCAAGGCACTTCAGGAAAAAAAAATCCTTTCCTGAAAATGATGGCCTATGAGCCTGGTGTGGTTTGTGGACAAGTTTGCCTCGGGTCAAATAGTTTCTTTGCCATGAGCAAAGTATGTTTAAACCTGCAGCTGATTTTAAAGGCAGATGCTGACGACTCCTGCCGACCAAGCTGGTGGCATCCTGTGCTCTGCATCAGGTACTCCTCACTGTTGTTTTGGAGGTAAGAAAGACTAAGGGGAGGGAGACTTTGAGGAACCATGCACATAAAAACAGAGCCCAGTAGCAGCACGTCTGCTGAAAAGAAAAGGAAGTCAGGAGGTGATTCAGCCACAGCTCGGGGTCTCCCACCCGGATCTCAGCGAATGAAGCTTCCAGTTCTTTCTGGGTTGCCGTTCGCCAAGCGTATCCATTGACCGTATCTCCATTGTCTTTTCTCTGAGCTTTTTAGCCTACCAGCTAACCCCTTCATAGTCTCTCAGCTCCTCATCCCATTGACAGCTCTCCCCCTACTTTTTTCCATATCTAGTCTTGAACTTCACCCCCTCCCCCATCCCCCACTCCGTCATGTCTCTAACATTCCTTTAGGAGGAAAAGGGAGCCCCCAATTTTCTTGTGTTTCGAGAGGGTTATGGAAAGAGGGTGGTGTTTCGAGAGGGTTATGGAAAGAGGGTGACTTATCACCACTTAGTTCCAGGACTTTGGGGTCTCAAGGCTGAGGGGAAACATGGGTGGGGGTGGGGGACAGGGCAAATGACCAGCGGGGGTTGTGTGCAAGGTGGGGTACCAGTCCTCAGGCTGGGGAGGAAGAGCGAGTGAGGCACCCGTAGAGGGCTGGGAGGGGAGAGCGTGGTTGCAGGGATGAGGGAAGCAGGGTACTGGTGGAGGCGGTGTTGTATACGTGTAAGGGTAAGCAGAGGACTCTGGCAAGAAGCCAGAGAAGGCTGCCGTAGACAGATGGGCTATCGGCTGGAGTAATGACCGCTCTTGCTTCCGTTGCTTAGCCCTGCGGTTCTGGAACCAGACCTGGGGAGAGGGAAGAGAAGACGCATCGGCACTCCTGTCCCAAATGTCTCATACTCCCCCAAGGACAGGGAGTGACACCTGTTGTATCACTTAGAGCAAAGGCTTATCTGAGTCAGGGCTGTGAGGAAGTAAAAGCTTCGTGCTCACTTTCAACCTGCAGCCAATTCTCCCAGCTCTGACAACTTTGAGTCAGAAATGGCAAATTCCAAATAAGACACCATGGCAGTTTTCTTCCCCCAGATAACAGGAAGGTCCTTAAAGTAGGGCTGAGAGATGAAGACTGGGAAATGGTCATTGGACAGGGAAGGCTGGGTTTAAGAAAGAGGCTGTGGTTCAGGCTATCTATCTCCAGGCTGAAGATTTCAAGAATAGAGGTTTATAGAAATGTAAGACTGGCCAGAAGCAAGACTGCACATATGCGAACAGTTAGGGTTGCCTGTTTGTTGGAGTTTGTGTCAATACTGAAGGCTGGGGTGTGGGTCTTGACTTTATTTTTGTTTGTGTGGTGCTGGAGGGTCAGACCCAAGGCTTTGTACATGCTAGACAAGGGCTTTACCCCTGAATTATACCTCTCCAGAGCTCCATCCAATATCCATCAAGTAAGATGAGCTTAGAGCTGGGGTCAAGTGCACTGGAAATTATATTGACTGGTGAATGAATCCTATATTCTGGTGAATATTTAAATTAGGGTTAAACCCTCTATGGTTATGCCAAGACAATTCCCCCATCCTCCCACCCCCAAGCAGCTAGACAATGTTTGTTTCTTTCCCGAGTACCTTAGGGTATCATCACCTGAATTCTGGCTTCGCTGAGGCCTGTGTCTTGAGCAAGCCCCTCTCGAGCCCAGATGTCAGGATACTGGTTCCTCCCAAAGGCTGACTCCAGCTGTTCCAGCTGTGCTGGGTTGAAGGTGGTGCGGTGTCGGCGCCGGGAGTGGGGACGGCCCCTCGGTGGGCAAAGCTTAGGTCTCCCCAGCCCTGTACCAGAGAGTCTTCTATAAGCCTCAGGGCTCCTGTCTATGGAGGAAGGGAAATGGAGGGACACCTCCCTTACAAATGGGACCACTCAGCCCATCCTTGCACCACTGTTGCCGGTCCCCGTGTTCTGCTTCGTTCCTGAGACGTTACTTCCCCGTGGGACTCCCTGTTCCACAAGAACTGTTTGAACTTTCAAAGTCCCAACTTCTGCCTTCAGCCTGCTCTGGCTACATGTCCCAAGGTATGTGCTTCACTTTTGGGCACACATACGACCCACAGGACACATTTTGAGATTCTCCTCTTTGCTGTCTACCACGAGCTTCTTTGGTTGCCACCCGCATGTTTTATTTCCCATGCACCTCCTTCATCTGTCTCTCCTTCTGTACACACCCCTCCCCGCCCCGGCCCGGCTCAGGAAGATGAAGTTCTCCCCCTCCCATGTACACGCAGACACAATCTCCACTCTGGGATGAACTTCTTGACTCGTCTCTTACCTCTGCCCTGGCCCTGCCACCAGCCTGCGGGAACTTGAGCTCGTGGGAAAGGCTTGCCTCTCTTCCCCCAAAGCTCCCTGAGCCCTCATATTAATTAGTCTAAGAGCCACCAGGACAGAGAGAACAGGGAGGGAAGAGGAGACACCTGGGAAGGTGGGTGCCAAGGAAAGGACGGGTCTGGAGTAGAGACACCCATCCCCAGGGGAAACTAACGGTGTGGTGTGGCTCCCCCCTCTGCACCCAGTGTCTTCAGACAGGTACTGAACTGCCCTCTGGGGAAGAAAACCCTGAACCTCCAGCTCCCTCCAAGGAGGAGGGACCTTGGGCAAGCATAAGACTAGAGCTTTGCTGCTGCCCTAGCACCGAGCCAGTGCCTTTCCACAGTTCCCTCAGGCAGGGCCTCACTTCCCAACCTGTAGGGCGAAGGATTTCTGCTGTCTCACTTCCTAAGGTCCCCAAAGCTCCAATTCTGCTTTCCACCTGTCAACCTTCTGAAGTACAAACCATTCTCCAAAGCCAATGCGGCTTTGGGACCCATGTCTGCTGCTCCCTTAGGGACCCAAGCCCACCCTGGGGATCCACTCACCTACTGTGGAGATCAGAGTCCCAGAGGCCACGTGTGGCTCAGGCAGGGATCGGCCACAGGCATGGCCCTTCGTTTGCTTCTCCTGCTGGCTCCTTCTTTGAGCTTCCATGGCTAGCCTCCCAAATCAAAGATGGTCTAGCCTGCTGTCCTCTAGTCTGTGTCTTCCTGTAATCTTTCTCTGTTTCTGTCTATCCTGTCTTGTCTTCTGTTCTCTCTTCTCCCTGTTTCTACTTTCTAGCTTTTTCTGAGTCTCTTCCTTGTCCCCCACCCCCACCCCGTGTGCGTGTGTGAAGTATAGCTAGATACTTGTTTCCTCACGGTTTCCCCCTTTTCCTAACCCTCTATCCTTCCTCTGAATTCACATCTCATCCTCCCTGTCTTGGCTTTGCCCAGTTTTCTCTCTGCCTCTACTTCCTGATGCTGTTTTCTCTAAACTATCTACTTTCTCACACTACCTTTCTTTCTCCCTTAGTCTTGAAGAAGAGACCTCCTCCTGGCCCCATGAGCCCGTCCAATCACTTCTTGGTCACCAGAGCCCCCCGGCTCGGGGGAGGATCACAAGCCAGATGAGAGAAGGTGCTCTGTCAGAGGGTCCAGGGGCTGAGGCCAAGAGCTCATATTCCCAGGGGACCAGATTCTTTTGTTCTGTTAAATCTCCCTTCTGGGAACAGGCAGGGGACAGAGGTGAAAAGACATTCCTACCTAGACACCCCCTCCTCTGAACCCAACTGTAGGGAGGGGAACAGAGTGAAGGACATGAGGGGTAGGAACAAGGCATGACATCCCAGCATATGAGTGAGCGGCACTCAAAAGACCTACTCCCAGCAAACTCCAAGGGTGAAAAACCACAAGTGCATATCAGTCCTCTCAGATACTTTGATACCCCTAGGACAGTAGGACCCTCCAGGACACACTGAAATAACATTACTAGGTGATACCCACCCACACCATCCATAAAACCTGGTATGGGATCCCACACTTGCTGGCCCTCCCTGACCCATGCCCACCCTCCCGATTCCTCCAGATGTCAGAGTTCCCGAGTACTCTCTGATTTCCTCATTCAATCATTACCTCCTCACTCATTCAGAACCCTGAGGTATGACCTGGCAAGGTGACCTAGATCCTCCAGAGCAGCTCAGTTCCAAGTCTGTCCCGCCCAACCGAGACCTTAGGTCTCACCTTGAAATAACTTCAGGTTCTCAGACCCTGCCATTGTGATTCTTCAAGGACACCCTGACACACAGCTTCTCTGAGAGGTCAGGACAACCTGGTGCCTCTAGTGCTGCCTCTTGAGGTGATTTTGACTGTGGAAGTCTGTTTTGGTATCCTTAGGATATCCTGCTCTTTTAAGGGCAAGCAAGCATCTTAGGACAGACATTAGGGTCCTCCAAGAGACACTGAAACTGGGGGGGACTCTTTGATAACCAGGACTTTCCATCTCCACTATATGATTTCCACGCCCTCCATAAAGTCCTGGCTTCTCAGGACACATACGGATGACTCATGAGTCCCTTCATGACTTCACTGTCACCATAAGACAACCTGATTCCCAAGGTCAGACTAACTCCTCAAACACATCCCTTAAAACCATCAAGACTATCCAAAACAGGATAACCATCAAGGTACATTTTAAAGACTAATTAACTTGTTATCGTTATTAGGGATGTGTGTCCACATCTATAGATGCCACGGTATGTGCATGGAGGTCAGAGGAAGATTTGTGGGTTCTTTACCCCCCCCCAACATGTGAGTCTCAGGGATCGAATTCATACCTTCTGGTTCAGCAGCAAATGACCTGATCCTCTGAGCCGTCTCGTAGGCCCCAGGCCTCAGGGTCTTAATGCTCACAATATGATCCACAGAACAGCAGCACACAGGAGCTTGCTGGGGTCAAATCCTTGGGCCTCACCTTTCTATTGCATCAGAACTTGTGAGCGTCCAAGATCCACAGCAGAACCGAGTGGATGCTTTGCTCCTGCAGTGAGCACTTAGTCCCCGTTTCCCGGTCTGAATCCCCCTCCCCCACAGAGCTTCCCCGGCCTTCTCTGTTAGTGGAAGGAGACTTGTGGATTTTGATGATGGCTGGTCTCATGGTTGAGAATATGAATCTTCACTCTCCTTGTTTCTTGGATAATTTGTAGAGAGGGAAGCTACATTTCCATTGTCATTAATTTTTTCGAGAAAATTGCTTTTAAAAATGATTTGATCATATGAGGATTCTAATTAAAAAGGACTCCAGCATATATCATAAGGCTATAAAGTAGGTCTTTAAAAAAAACACAGAGATGCCAATTCCAAGGGAAGGATATGCTTTACTAAGGGTGGAGCGATGGCTCAGCAGTTAAGAGCATTGGGTGCTCTTGCAGAAGATCCGGGTTGGATCTCCAGCACCCACATGGCAGCTTACAATCATCTCTAACTCTGGTACCAGAGCATCTGTTGCCTTCTTCTGGTTCTACTAATGACCAGGGAAACACGTGGTGCACAGACATCCATGCAGACAAAACACTCACACACATACAGATTAAGATAAAACAAATCTTAAAACATATGTTTTATATCTTTAAAAAAAATATTTACAAGAGAATTGCTAACTCAGCCTTTTGTGTTTCCTGGGGAAACCCACAGTGTAATGCAAAAATTTTCTTCACTTCTCTAGAAGCTTCTGGTTTTCTATGTCAGGGACAGATTAACTGTTACAGAGATTAAAACACAGAATTGGCTTTCTGTTTTTGGTCATTACTTTCTTAGTATAAATTAGTAAATCGAACCTTAATCCTGAAGGCTTAAGGGCTATTCAGAAGGAAGTCGGTAAGCGTTTACCAGAGTGCAGAGAACGAAGCTGCTGTGAGGCTCTCTGACGTTCGGTTTCATCAGCTTTATAATGGACACAGGGCACAGGACCAGATAGATCGTACACGTGATATGGGCCTCAGAGGACAATGAGGGTAAGTAGGACCGGTACTGGGAACCCGTCTCTGGTGACCGCTTTGCCCTGGGAGACTGAGCGGAACCGGCTGGATGTCAAAGGTCTGAAAAGGAAGTCAGGCCGGTTGTCTTGCTTAAAGTTCGGCAGCTGGATTTCTAGGAGAAGGAGGTGTGTGAGAGAAGTGGCCCCTGGCAGGGAGGACTCAAGGACAGACACCTTAGAAGACAGGTTTCTCCACCGTGAAAAGACAAAGTAGCAGGGGTCGCGGTAGGGTTCCACCTGCCTGGAAGAATGCTTCCCGCGCAAGAGCCCCACCTTTGCCAAGAGCTACTTTGAATCCTGCAGAGAGGACCACGACTAACTTGGTTCTGAATCTTAGAAACTTTCCTTAATTTCAGTACGGCTGTCGTGTGTCACCATGACTGCTTCCTTCAGATAACTCAATCCAAGAATAAACTTTGGCCTCTGGAGGTCCGGCCAGCAACTGACCAATGCAGAGGTGGATGCTTGGAGCCAACCATCAGACTGAGCTCAGGGAACCTGGTGGGGTAGCTGGCCTGGCCCAAGGACTGGAGGAGTGGAGGGGGATTGCAACTCCATTGGAAAAACAACATAGGCTGATTTGACCACCCAGTTCTCCCAGAGTCTAGACCACCAAGCAAGGAGTGTACCTGGAAAAAGCAATGGCTCCAAATACATATGTAACAGAGGATGGCCTTACCTGACAGCAATGAGAGCAGAGGCCCTTGGTCCTGGGGAAGTTTGATGCCCCATCGTAGGGGGATGCTGGAGCGGTGGGGCCAGAGACTGTGTGTGGGTGGGGGAGCACCCTCATACAGGCAAAGGGGAGAGGGGAGGGCAGATGTGGAATGGGGGTTGGTGGAGGGGTAACCAGAAAGTGGTATATCATGGGATGGGAGGTTGGTGGAGGGGGTAAACATGATATCCCAAGAAGTGGGATATCATTTGAGATATAAAAGAATGGAATGATTAAAAATAAATAAATACATATGAAAAGGAATACACTTTGGTAAACAGATATTCATGTAAGATTGAATCTGTTTCATAAATGTGTACTTGACAAAAGCAACAAATAGCAGACATATTATGGAGTCATGGATGTATGAAATAATAAAAACTCTCAGGGCTGAGAACATGACTCCGTTGGTAGAGCTCTTGTCTTACATCCATGAAGTGCTAGACTCCATTCCCAGTGCCATGTAAGCCAGCTGTGGTGCTCACCCCTATTCCCACAGTCCTAGAGATGTAGAGACTGGAGAGGCAGCAGTTCTGGGCTATCTGTGTGGTGACAGTGAGAACGGCCTGGACTGTGTGAAAGATCCTGTGTGAGATACTAAAAGGGTAGGAGAAAACAGCCTTGCTAGCATGAAACGGCACTGTGTTCACCTCCTCCATCTTCCTATTTCTCAGATGGAAATAAACCCCCAGAAAAACAACATTACATGTCCAGGTCCAAGTGACATCAGACCATCCTCATCCTGAGGTGCTCTGTGTCCAGGGTACATGTGTTCCTCTGATGAGGAGTTACAGGGACTCAACCCTGGTGGCCCTCAAAGTTGGCAACTTGATTCACATTTCCCCCATCCTCAAGGAGCTCACCGTCCCCAGGGAGGGAGGATCTACTGCCTGCCATTCTTCTAGCTGACCTGAGAAAGCCCCTGTGTCTTACTAGAATGTTCTCCAGTGAGAAAAAGGCTCCTCAGTTCTAAGGCTAAGCTGTGACTTTTCATCATCCAGGTTTAAACAGGGAGTCAGCAGAAACAAGGATTCTATAAAGGCATCGGACAGCAAAAGAAAGCAGCCGGTGAGAGGGTCTGGGGAAGTTAAGATGCCGCTATCTCAACAGCACACATGTTCACACAAGTACATGCTTCCTATAAACGTCCCATCTTCCTTCCAAATGTAGAACTGAGAGCCACATCAAACAAATTTTCTTACTTTATTTAAGACAAAGAAATCTCTGAGCAGAATTCTGCACAGTGACAACTGTTCTGAAGTCCACAAGGACATTCTGATGTTGTGTTACAAGGTTATGGATAAACTATCAGGCTGGTCCGTCACAGCCTAGAAGTACCAAGTGCAGGGACAAGTCAAGAGGAACCTAAACCAATCTGAGTTGCATAAGTAGCATTGAGAGGGCAGTGAGCGGCTCTCAGCTCATC